AATCTATATTATACTTTATTTATTCTCTATTAATATTATAATATTAGCTGTTATCTATATAAATTATTAGTATTTGTTATATAAAATAAAATTATTATACTCCTTTTACTTATTATTAATAATAATAATGTCTCTAAAATACAGAAAATCTTTTTAAGTATATTACAAGAATCCAGGAGTTAGTTTTTGAAATGCATTTAAAAAGATCTCTATAAATTAAAGTTTTATTTCTCTTTAAAATAATAATAATAAATATATAAAATAAATTTATTTAACTTCTAATATAAAAATTTGTTAGTTAATGATTAAATATTATTGTTTAAATTTGCAAAAGCTATTTTACAACTTTCAGTAAACTAATACAGCATGCTAATATAGTATATTACAAAAGAAAACTGTTTTTTAACCAATAAATTATATCTTGTAAAGATTATAAATATCTTAGCCAATACAAAGATCAAAATATGATGTGAATTTGTAGAGTATAATGATTATAAGATTATCTCTTCCAATAATATTAGTATAATGCAATAAATAATAATATTATCTTTAAATATTGAAGAAGAAATGATATTATTACTAGATATTGAAAAAAAATAATATTATCTGTAAAGATTGAAGAAGAGATTTCAGAAGAGAGTTCTGAAAAATTACTATTAGTAAATATTAATACTAATTTTGATTCTAAAATCTTCAAGATACAATTTTGAATGATATTTTGAAGATTATTAAAGAAAAAATTAAATTAGAATACTTAGCACAATGATCTAATAATACTTACTATAATTTCATAAAGTTGATAATAAAGAATAATATTTTGAACAAAATTAAAAATAAAATAATTAAATTCTTTAATAAGAATAATAATCAAACAGAATTATTATTGCTAAAATTCACAAAAATCATCTTAATCAAATAAAATTATCTTTGATCAACTTCAAAAAAAGATTATTAAAACTTTCTCTAATATTGATTTTATTTTTTATTATTATTCAATTTTTTGAGCTATTTAAATATTCTATAATGATTAGAAATAACAAATAATTTTAATTAATAGAGTAAATATTAAATAATTACCAGAAAAATAAAGTTAAAATAAGGATATTTGAAGAATAATATGAATATGATTAATAATACAAGACTAAAAAGATACTTTTTCTATTATATTATTTATTGTTAATTATTTTATATTCAGATATTACTATCTTCAATGATCTTAATAAGATATTAGGATATTTTATATTTTTAATACTTGATAACTTTTCAAATTGACTTCAAAATAAATTAGAAGTTAAAATTCTTTTGAATTTTTTGCTCAAAATCCAAGATTCAATAATAAAAATTACTAAAGATTTTTGAAGCTTGCAATGTGAAATATATCACAAATACTTTAAAATTATACTTGGTTTTCTAATAGAAAAACTCAATGAATTGTATTTCAGAGTACAAGAATTTTTATAGTATATATTTCTGTTTTTTTCATAAATATATTTAAGCTAACAATGTGATTGCAATATATAAAGCATTAAAATACAAAATACCATGTCATATATATATTATTTTGCAAAATAATCTTAATAATATAAATCTTGTATTAGAGGATATGAATCTTAAAACACCAAAAAACATATAATAGATTATAAATAAAGATTAAAACAAGAATTTTTTTGTATATAATGTTGAAAATATCTTTTAAAAGTTTTCATGAGTATTTAAATACTAATATTTTAGCAATTATTTTTAAAGAATAATTTTAAGTTATAATTAAATTAAAATTATTAAATTATTAAATTATTATAGAAACTTAATATTTATAAAGTTTGTATATCTAATTATATATATCATATTAAACTTGGTTTCTTTAAATATCAATTGAACTTCAATTAAGATATTCAAAACAAGTTAAAGAAACAGAATTATTAAATATCTTTGATGGTTATCTTTATCAAATTTCTCACTTTTTAAGTTGAAGTTATTCAATAAATTAAATTAAATAAAAGTAATAATAGTTGCAGACTATTAATATATCATAAAAATCACTCTTTTTATATTAGACAATATCTTCAACATATAAAATGATATAACTTGCAATGAATTCTGCATGCTTTATATAAAGTTTAGTAGGATATATATAATAAACAGATGAGAATTATTTACTAAAAATAATTTAAAAGGATTTAAGATAAAATAAAGCAAACTTTAAAAAATTAAATAACTAATAATGAACTTTGAAAATGAATACAAGTTCTCATTACTAACTGATTAACTAAATTTAAAAGAATCTTTTTATTACTATTCATTATAAAATATAACTTTTCTAAACTATATATATAGTTAGTGTTATCACATGATTTCAATAATTTATAAATATGAAGTCTTGAATGATCTTTCAATAAAAATGTATGAAATACTTCACAAGTTATATGTGAAAAATTTGTACTGGTTATCAAATAGAAAAAATATAATATATCAAATAGTAAATACAATAAGTTAAGTTAGTTAATTATAATCAATTTGTTATAAATTCTAAATTATACTTATAAGTTAAGTACAAAAAATTGGTTTCATAATAAATAAGACAATTTATTATAAAACTACAAAATTTAATAAGATATTATGAAAGTTATCTTTGAATGTTATCAAAGCAAAATTGATTTTATTGAAGAATTTGAAGAGTTTATTACATTCAAATTTTATTAAATGATTATCATATATAATAACTACATTAAATGCATTATTTAATATATTATTACAAAAATCTGAAAGTAAATACTTTTGCATAAAAATTTATAACACAGTTTATTTGAAAAGTAATAATTTTTATAACAAGAGTAATTCAGTAATATTGCAATAACTTCAGCTAAAGATCAAAGCTATTATAGATCAGATAAATACAACTTTAAAGAATAGTAAATATAATTTTAAATTTAGCAATTTTGAATGAATTAACATTCACATTTTCTTTCAAAAAATAATAATTTTTTTGAGAATTAATAAAAGATTCATACAATCTTGTTATAGTTATTGATATAATATTGTGTCAAATAAGCCAGAAAAGTATGATTCTCTTATTTATACTATACCAAAGAGTATAAAATAATTTTAATAGAATTTATAGATCAAAAGATACATATTGTGTCAAGATTTAATCAAAAAAACTATTTTTTATTAAATAAATATATGTTTTAAAAACTAATAAACAAAGAATTTTAAAGTCAAATTTGCATCTGTAATAAATAATAATACATATAATTGATCTATTTATTATTTATCTATTTAATTTATGTTCAAAAAACTGTAATAATCTGTAAATATGCTAATCATTACAGTTTCTTTGAATTACATTACTCTAAAATTTTTATTTTTAGAGTTCTGTGCAGATTTTGAATTAATATAACCAAAAAATCAGTGACAATCAGCATATTTACTTATTACTGGTGATCTGATATCTATCAAATTTATTGATAAATGATAAATAACTAATACTAATATAATAAGTGCAAGAAATGGGTATCTAAAGATATCTTAAAAAATGTTGAACAATGTCAGAGAATTTATCATTATTAGGAAAGCAATCACTTAAAGATTTGATTGAAAAGCCATTCTGAGAATGATGAGTTTGTCACACTTTGACGATCTGTAATCATGTTATCATGTGATAACGTGACTTTAACGATTGCTGATTGGTCAAAACCTGACTGATCGGTGTCCAAAAATTAAAGAATAATAATAAAAGTGGTTGATTTTATATCTTAATTACTTTATATAATATAATATAATTTAAAAAACTAAATCATAAATCTGAAAGCGAATCTATCATATTTACAGTTTAGTTTTTTAATATTACCAAAGTTGGAAGATTAGATACAATTTGAAATTATGCAAATTATATGAAAATTGTTTGATGATTATAGATGGCATGAACCATATGACACCTGATCGCTTGTATATAGATCTATAAACTTTAATTCCTCAAATACAATAAATCAATCATTTTAGAACATAATAACTCTGCGTCCAGCGATCCGAATTGAGCGAAATTACTACTATTGATTAGTCTAATATAGACGAATCAAATGGTGATACGTATTTTCGGATCACTGGATGTCGAGATATTACATCTTAAAGTGACCGATTCATATTTGTCGATCAATTTTCGAAAAAGAATGAATCGGTCAATTTAGGATGTAATATCTCGACATACAGTGACCCAATTCGAACAAAAATACTACTATTCGATTCGCCTTGACTAGGCGAATCGAATGGTATTATTTTTGTTCGAATTGGGTCACTGTATGTCGAGATATTATGTAGGCTGGCTCAAGCTTTATAGGTCTGGTGATCTGTCCGAAAACAAGCCAATAAGAATGCGTAAATTTTTGATCAACCTGGAATAACAAATCCGATGTTCGAATGTAAAACGGCAATTTTACATATACTCTAACCCTAACGCTAGTCAATCAACCTTTAACACTGATAAACACGTATCACATGTCCACCAGGCTTTAGCCACTCCCCAATTCCTAATTCAGCTCGGATACTTATGGTCGTTACTGTATGTGTAACTATATCTTATGCATTGGTCAATCGTAGAAAATTTAAACCTCAAGCCTATTAAGCCTATTAAAAATAGAATTAGAACCATCGATTCGTTAGACCGTCATGTGAAAACTTTAGCTGTACAAAATTGTTGCTAATTAGCGTTAGCGTTATCGTTATCGTGAATGGTATACGTATGTACATGGATTTACTTATAATTTATACAATTATAGATATTACAAGCTAGGGTTAGAGCGAGAACAAGGTTATATATATATCCATTTTTGGGTTTGTATTACATGCACAAATAAGCATACCCCATGTATAGAAGCAGCTGGTGTAATCGATGTTGTACAACGTGTGTAACGACGGTTTTAGGATAAAAACTCCCACACATCCATTATCCGCTATCATTATTCTTCATTCAATATACGTAACAATAACGATAAAATATTATCAGAATGCTTATACCTACTGATTCTCTCGCCACCTTAACGTCAACTTCAAATATAGAATTCGAAAATCTTATAGTGAACGGCACAGAAGAAGCGGAAGCCGAGGAAATTAAAGAATGGCATTTTCATGTTTATTTTTTTCAGGTAATATCCGGCGGTATACATGTATTATATTTCATTTCAGAGAATTGAGAAATTATGTTTTATGTAAAAAGAACAATGAAAAAAGCAAAGCATCAGCATTAGTACTTCGACAAAAAATAATTGAATTGACTCGCGAAGGGTTTTTTTATCCTGTTCCTTCTTCGGTTAATATGGCTCCATTGGGACCTCATCCAATTGTAAGTTGATTTTTTTCTTTTAATGACACACACCCTCTATACATGTACATGTACATTTATTATGTATATTGAGTGTCATTGTTTGTTTTGCAATAATAGGGTTCGTACGAAGTTTGGTGCCCAAAAGAACACTTCAATCGGGTATTCTCTTGGTTTGTGTTACATCGTGGTCAACATTCAGTTCTGGTGCATCCACTAACAGTTGAAGAGGTAATTACGACAAATCATAAGAACTAATGCCATTTCTAAACAACAAATTACGCATTACATACAGATTAAAGATCACACTGAACGAGAAGTATGGATGGGCACCCCAATGCCATTAGACACGGAAAGGCTTCATGAACGTCTTCCACAAGTGCCATTACAATATCCAGAATTGAAAATGGGATATTCGGCGCCACCTTCTTCTCGGTCCTTTTAAATCAAAACTTTTTATTTGTCATTGTTGATATTTTTTATTTCTCTGTAATATATTGTCTAATCAAACTGGATTTTATGTTTTTTTCGTCCATATTCGTAGGAATGCTTTTTGCAATTTCATCTTCTCATCAAGTTCCATTAAATTCTTCATGTGTTTTAACCCTTTTGATGGTTGTAAAGCACGATTATTATCCGATATTTTAGGTCGTACTCCCTCGCCTCATATGATCTTTATCATGATTTACAATCTAGTCATTCCAAAATTATAAACATCTGCAGCAGTAAATTTCTCAATCAGATTTTTTTATATCTGTTGGACCGTTCGGTAATTCGAGCAGTATTCACATAATACGTAGTCAATTTTTCATAGTACATGTATACAGTATTTCCATTTTTAGCATTACAATCGAGTACCGTAAAGTCCCGTGAGTAAGCAACCCCCTACGTCATCAATTTGGGATCTAGAACCTAGTCATGACAAAAAAAGTGTCTTTCACGTGATTTCCGACCTGCACCATACTCCGACCAGATATCCGACTTATCAAAATATTGTTACAAGTTTGTTCACTAATCGTTAAATTAGCTTACAAATGAGAACCTGGGTTGGGAGAGGGTATAAACTGATAA